AAAGCCTACTATTCAAATTTCAAAACCATCAAAAATCGTCATTATCCAAGTAATTTTTTAAAAATATTTCAGTGTGAAATTTTCTTACCGAATACCATTTTAGCTTCAATTAATATTCGGGAATTTTTTCGCAAACACGAATATTTAGAAAATTCGTGTTCTCGAACAAAATTTCCGGAAATAATTGAAGCTCTCGTGACAGAACATCGTGATATACAGGGTATGTCACGACGAGCTTACACTATCTCTATATCGAGAATCAGTCAGGAGAAATCTATGAAACCATGCATGCTCATATTTCCAAATACGCTCTTTTCATCTGAAATATTTTCAGCGATGCGGTGTTGCCGCTTCTATCAAAAAGTAGCAACAACTTTGTTATTTTGAACAGAATACCCTGTAATTTATTGCATTTTTAGATTCTCCCTGGAGAGATGACTTCATCGATACATCACACTTGGAGTCTATCGGAAATGATTACAGAGATATAGGGTGTACAAAATCGAGATTTTTCATCTTTAGGATTTGTTTTCGTCGAAACTATTCATTATCGGCCAAAATGGCTCACATTTCCCTATCTCAACTTTAGATTTACTATTTACTGATATTTAATCGAAGCAGATACATGGTGATCAGAATTCTGAATCTTGAATAGTCAATCAAAAGTTGAGATTGGGACATGTGAGTCATTTTGGCAGATGATGAATAGTTTCGACCCAAAAAAAATTCTAAAGTTAAAAAATCTCGATTTTGAACACCCTATATTTCTGTGATCATTTTTAATTGATAACAAGTGTGGTATATAGATTGAATCAGCCCTCTAGGAATAATCTAGAAATGCGATGAAATACAGGGTATTCCGTTTGAAATATCAATGTTGCTACCACTTTCAAGTAAAAGCGGCAACACTGCATTGTCGAAAATATTTCAAATGGAAAGAGCTCATTCTGTAATAAGAGCATGCACATTTTCATGAATTTCTCCCCACTAATACTCGATATAAAGATAGTGTAAGCTCGTCGTGACATACCCTGTATTACTTATGACAATTGATAATATTCGATATTTGAACGAAAATCAATGATCAATCATGAATTATTGAATTTTTATATGGTGTAGCTGCATTCGAGAGTTTTGATGAAGGAATTTTAGAAATTCATGAGTTCATTGGATGTCCAACAGAAAATTGTTATTATTTTTGAAATATAATGATGACGACACTGATTACTTGGATTGCACGAATTTTATATCGACGCCTAACCCTTATAATACAATTATGACCCATGGATATCCTTAGGACGTCCTGTCGAGACATTCAGGACGTCCATTGGACGTCTGTGGGACGCAAAAATGTCCCACTTGGGGACCAACTAGGGCAATAGGATGTCCATAGAATGTCCCATGGACCTACGAATTATTCTTCAATTTGAATTTTTCTGGGTCCCTCTAGGACCAGATCTTGCATAACTGATGAGGACATCCAGTTGAGTTGATGGTCCGTAGAAGGTCCCCAATAGATCCTGAAAAAGTGTCCTAAGGATGTCCAATCGACTTACGTGAAGGACATTAACGGGGAGTATTTATAGTCTACGAGCAATCATTCGTCGGCTAGGTGTAAGTTAACGTCCTCACAGGAACAACATATTGAAAGTACCGTCTGGGACGTCCGTAGGACGTTATTTCTAGGACATTGAAAGAGTACAGTTCATGTACCAATTGGGGCATCCGACGTATAGCCCTACGGGACATTCGAAGAATGTTCCTGAGGGACGTTTCGATATTCATACGATCCTGGAAATATTGAGGACGTCTGTGCAGAGATATTTGAAGGAATGTTCCATCAGGGACATTTCATGGTTGTCTAGAAGGGACATTTTATGAGATCTGAAGTCATGCCAGAATATGTACTACTCGGATCATCCGATGGATGTCCTTAAAGGAACGTTTGAAATTATATCCTATCAGGGACATGCCAAGGACGTCCTTGCATGGACATTCTACAATATGTACCACGTGGGACGTCTAAGGGATGCTATTTCTAGGATATTTGGAATGATGTACTCGCTGGGACATTCCGTGGACGTCCTTGCTCGGACATAGCATGAGATGTACGGTATGGGACGTCCCAAGGACACTTATTCTTGGATGGGACATTCGGACTTGAATTGGACCAAATAGGGACGTCCCTAGGACGTTGTATGCTATTAGGGAAGGTAGCATGCTGAGTCGAATATATTCAGTTTGTACATTTTTCCCAGATATGTACAGAGTGACCAATTCTGTCATAATTTTTTTATTTATGGAGTGATTTCCAATAATTGTTTTTAAATGTAAAGGGGGAAAAAGTGACACCCTGTATACATAATTGCTATTCGCAATCTTGAAAACATGGTAGACTATAGATTTTGACCCGTAATAACCCGAAAATAACGAAAACAAAATTCATTTGACGGTTCTTCATACCGCAAACATTATATTTACGTAATATCGATCTGGGTTACATGAAAAAACACAAAATTAAAATCCATGGAGGCACGCAAAGCCGTTGTCAAGAATTTGGTCATTAGTCACTGTCGAAATGCAGAGTTGGAAGTGTTAGGACCAGTGGCGTACCTCAACAATTTCTTAAGAGGAATAAAAGTTCGGTTCAGTAACGCACAAATTCATTCAAAATTCAGGTTGGACATCATAATATTGATGATGATAATAATCATAATAATTTCTCGACTTTCCATTTGAAAATAATTTCTCTACACTGAAAGAACAGTTCGACTTCAACTAAAATTGATTAATCGTTACTGAATCTGTTATCGATGTATCGATTATGATTAATCCAAGATAACATTCATTGATCGACAATCAATATATTATTATATTTCATTTCGAAGATAGAATGTGTGAAGATTTCCCCCAATATTTTGTCAACGTTATTCCAGATTTAATTTTCATACCCATATTTTCATCCACTAGTACAGCATAATGAAAAAAAACCTTTATCGATAATAAGCAAATACTCGCTGAAATGAATCAGTGATATCAATTCTTTTTACCCCAGATGTTTGTACGGGTTCAACAGCATGCCTTTTCTCTAGAAAAGCCGATCTCACTGTGCCCAACATAAGCTTGTCAGGAGTAACCATACCTTTGAAGACATCCATTCAGATGATTGGTATTACTATCAGCAATAACCTTTCTTGGAAAAATCACGTGAGATAAATTGCTAAAAGTGCATCAAAAAAACTTGGTTTTCTGTTTCGGGCTAGGAGCTATTTCACTTCCAGTCAGCTGCTTATGATGTATAAGGCACAGATCCGACCTCTCCTGGAATACTGTTTCCATATTTGGAGTGCAGCACCCAAACATACCCTGAAACAGTTGGATTCTGTCCAAAAAAGGCAATTCGTCTCGTGGGTGATGCCTCGCTCACAAACTCACTCACTTCTCAGGAACACCATAGACAAGTTGGCGATCTGGCCCTATTTTATAGATATTTCCATGGAAGATGGTCTTCTGAAGTATCAACAATAATTTTTCCTCCATTGGCAGTTCCCACGAGATTAACCCGTCTAGTTGAGGCTTCGCACCCCTTCGTGGTCACTTTGGAGACCTGCAGAACATCTCTTTCCAAAGACTCGTTCATCCAACGAACAGCGAAGCTCTGCAAAACATTGCCAAGGGAGGTGTTTCCCGAGGCATGTAACCTCCAGAAATTCGAGAAGGACACCAATTCCTACCTCATTTCCCTTGGTTCTCACGATGTTCTCTGAACATTGCAGCATATCCCTTTTCGTGGGTGCCAGAACATAAAAAAAGCTGGTGTTATTGATAATGCCGATAATATAGGTAATTTCGATCATTCCGTTAATTTCGATAATCTCGATAATTTCGTAAGATCTTGATTAACTATAACCGATATTTCTCAATACTTTTTCACCACCAGCTTTATTTAGTTTTTGAAACTAAATCCTACTTCTTTCTACTCCAGCAGTGCGGATTCATGAAATAATTTTCCTTATAAAATCGATGAAAGAAATATTTATCAAGTACCTACCTATACAGGGTGTCCCTAGACCAGTGGGACAGTTGAATATCTCCTGAACCAATAGGAATTTTCAAGATATTATAATTTCACATCATATCGCATTATGAGTGCTAACTTCAGGAATGACTATATTTTTTACGAGGGGCGCAAGAAAGGCTCACAAAATCGAACATCAATTTTTTTCAAATGGAACACCTTGTATTTCATTGCATTTTCATATTCTCTTTGAAGAGCTGAATTCAACTACTGACTGAAACTGAGAATTCTATATACACCACCCTGTATTTGTTTCAAGTACGAGTAAATAATAAATCTAAAGCTAAGATATGGACAAGTAAGCCGTTTTGACCAACAATGAATAGTTTTGACACAAAAAATTCTTGAAAATAAAAAATCTCGATTTTCCACACCCTATATCTTTATATCTCGGAAATCATTCCCGCTAGACCCCAAGTGTGCTAGGTCGTTGAATTCAGCTCTTCAAGGAGAATATGAAAATGTAATGAAATACAGGGTGTTCCATTTGAAAACATTGATGTTCGATTTTGTGAGCCTTTCTTGCGCCCCTCGTATAAAATATAGTCATTCCTGAAGTTGGCACTCATAATGCGATATGATGTGAAATTATAATATTTTGAAAATTCCTATCGGTTCAGAAAATATTCAATTGTCCCACTGGTCTAGGGACACCCTGTATATTCAAACAGTCCTCTTGATATTTTATGATTCCACTACGAACTTATTAGGTAGAAAACGGTAAAAACACGTAAATTGATGCTTATGTTCGGCAGTGATGAAATGGAATTTGCTGTTGACTTTATCGTTTTACCCTACAAATACATAATAATTTCCTTTGTGTACATGCAAATACTAGTGAATTATGAAAATGTCACTGCATCGACCCAAACGAAGCAATTCAATAACTCATCATTATTTTAATACGGAATATTTGTTACAGAGCGACACAATGAACAAACAACAGCCCACCAGCAACATTAGAATGTGGAAGCGAGGATTACGAATACTATAGGTATAGTAAAATTATTGCGAGTAGAGACATGGTATGTAGACAGAGAGAAAAATTTCGATATTGCGCCTAATTTCACTAGATCCAATATTTACTTGCATCCCTTCTTTCCTAGTTGAAACCTTATAACCTTCTTCAATTAGATTAGATCTAACCAACACAATTCCAAATGGAAAATGTTTACGTTTGGATATTGATGAAATAAACCTCTGGTGTACGCACTTCAATCCCTTCCTGTTTTACAATTCCTTGATTTTCGCCTACTTCGATAAATATAACATGGCGTGGGCGAATCTTGCTAAGTTTAGTCTGGTGACGTACCAAAATTACAGGCATCAATGTGACAATTATTGTGATCGCATTGTGGCCAACGAAGATAAGGAATACATTTTGCGATTTGGCCGCATCAAGGTTGGTAGAACTGATGATGATCATAAGTTCTAGGAATCACGCCATCTATCATTCGATATGTGAACCCCACGCAATCGTCTGAAATTCACTTGTTCCACAGCCGTCTAGTTGAAGACGGCTGTGCTTGTTCATATCAAGAACCCTCGACTGACGAAACAAATGAAGAGGGAGCGCACTAGAGGTATATTTCGTCATTGGTTATCGAATATAACAGCATGATATTAAGTATTTTTGATGCAGATTAAAGTTTTGAGAATCATGCATTCATGGATTATACATTCGACTGCAAACTAATATTTTACCGAACAACAATGTCGAAATCGATACTTATCTTCAAAATTAGAGCCTTGTTTGAAATAACTCATTGTTTTCCTGGTTTGTCTTATCTGGAACACACGGACAGCAATGAAAGCTATTCAAAATTTGATAACATAATCTCCACGACAATTCACTATGTGAACAATGTTACATCAGGGAAAACATGTTCTTGGACATACATATATGTCCATCATCAGCCTACAAGAAATTAGTCCTACAAGAGACAAGAAAGAGTGTAAAGTGAAATTCTCACCATAGAGTCGTTTACATGACGGTGAGAAAATTATCTGCAAATACATTGAGATTGAAAAAAGTTACACATCACATTATCGGAACATTATTAAAAAGTTAATATTTCATTTTTCGAAGTGGAAGAGGAAAAAAAATTTTAACCCCTGCATTAGTTTATGCTTAGATTGAACACGAGCCTGTCCCATAACATTATATAGGGTCACCGGGATAATAATGAGAAAAATGATGGAAAAATTAATATTGACTGCCATATTGACCACTTTGAGTAGCAATCAGCAAGTAGTGGAGGACGGAAATCCCATGACTTAACAGACACTGACAAGTATGTTGACAGATGTCAATGTAGCACAGAAAACTGACAAGAGACTGAGAATGACAGTCAGGGATACCAACCCTCAATATGGCAGTCAATATCTTTTAATTTTTCCATAATTTTTTTGTTGTTCCGATAATGTAATGTGTAACTTCCTTCAATTTCAATGTAATTGCAGATAATTTTTTGTATGGTAAGAATTTCACTTTACACTCATTTTTGTTTCTTGTAGGACTAATTTCTTATAGGCTGATGATGGACATATTATGTATCTCTGCAAACATGTTACCCCTAATGTGAAATTGTTCACATAGTAAACTGTCGTGGAGATAATTTTGAGTTTTATTTAGTTATTACAATTACTATTATAGTGGAGTGCAACTTTGAGAAATGTTGGACTTCTACCAGAGATTATTCAACATTTGTAAATTCCACTTTCTGTAATCAGACCCTATTTTTTTGTATAACTATATTGCAGAAAGAATTCTAACAAGTCTCAGAGTTTCATAACAATTTCGAATATTCGTTTTGGGGATATGTTTTTATTGTTGCAATATGGCAGGATAATATATCAGTCATTTACTTCAAAACCGAGTTCAAAACGTTTTCAAAGTATTTCTACAATAACTTGGTGCGAATGAGAACTGGATATGGGTAAGAATTGGACCTAGTGAAAGCCAAATGAGTTTCGTATCAGATTGGACTAGTGTTCTGAGAAATGGTCTAGTAACAGTTCCAAAATAGGGCCATTGAGAATTGGGTGTCATAATAGACCAAGAGCTCGCGTGAAAAATGGTTAAAGTGAATATTCCAAAGGTATGATGGTTTTGATTGAAGTACCCCACAATAGTAAGTCTAACACCACCCGTCTGCCACCTTCAAGTGGGGGCATTAATTCAGGAGGGGGTGTTGAAAGGTCAATTTTTTTGTCAATAGATTAAAGTAGTTCTTCCAGACTGAAAATCTGGACAAACGTTCCCTTTGTGATTGTGAATAAAACTGTGCTTTCAGATTTTGAGCAGACGGGGGCGTTATCGTAGCAGACGCCGTCAAAAATATGTCAAAAATGTCAAATGACAAAAATGAATATTCCAACCTGCATTTCGCATCAAATGATAGACAATGGAAATATCTACAAGTTTTCTAGGGAGAAAAAATCAGCAGACGGCGGTCCAGAGCCGGCAGACGCCCATTTGTCATGTGAACTGGTTCCCTTATTTTTTTTCTGGACGATATCTGAATGATGTTATTCCAGGCTGAAATTCGGTACATTTGTTATGTGTTTGGTTGTGAATATCACTGTGTTTTCAGATTTCGAGCAGACGAAGTCGTTATCGAAGCAGACGCCGTCAAAAATATGTCAAAAATGTCAAATGACAAGAATAAATATTCCAACTTGTATTTTGCATCAAATGATAGAGAATCAAAGAATCTACAACTTTCCTCTGAAGAAAAAATCATAAGACGGCGGCACAGAACCGGCAGACGCCCATTTGTCTTGTTGAATATCTCTCAACTTCTGTCTATATACCTACGACTTATTACAATCTATATCTATATACGAATGGAATGAAATATTCACTTACTACTCTATCTGTTTTGAGGAAGACGTATTCAAAACATTTTCTGTAGATAACTTTATTACTGAATCATCGGTGCTTCGAAGACGACCCTGCACGTGCGACGCTCTGGAGAGTGGGGTGTGAATTGTGTTTTTCATTCGTTTTTTGTTTTCACGAACGGACACTAGAAAATCAATGTACAGGGCTAGTTTTATAAATGTGAACCCCCCTCTATCTTTTCTGTTTTCCACCCATTCGAATAATTTTGAAATTGATTTTATACAATTTTTCGAACAGTTTTCACCCATTTTGACAATGATGCAATATCTATTCAAATATACAGGGTATACAAAAATGAATATATTTTTCAAATGAAATGCCCTGTATATTTCGATAAATTTGAATTCCCCAAATCATCCTGATTTCAAACATATTTATATATAGGAGGATCATCATCTATCAAAATATACAATGCATTCCATATACAAAAATCAATATATTTCTGCATACCCTGTATATTTGAAGAGATATTGCCACATTCTCTCAATATGATCGAAATCAATATAAAATATCGTAAAAAAATCAGTTTTGAATCTTCTCGAATGAATAGAAAACAAAGAAGATGAAGGGGGCTTCACATTAATAAAACTAGCCCTGTACTTCTCGTGTGAAGGTCGTTGATTCAAAATAGTGGTAATATTGCTCAATTTTCTTTGACATCAAAAACATTGTAGTGATTGTTATTGGAAGATTTTGTGTTTGTGTGTTTCAGAGAGCTTTTTGGTGAGTTCAAATTGATAACTCTAAATTTAATGTACTGGTCAATCATGTTACCTAATTTTGCAGCAAAAATATTGCTTTATCACTTCAAATATGGATGGAATGTGTTATAAGTTATACAACGGTAGGTATTCGAAAATATATTCTATTGACAATTCTCTCAATCTGACAGAAGTATCAACAAGCTTTTCCAACTGTTATCATCTACAGACATGATCATAATTATATATTATATTATACAGAGGGTTATATAACATAAACATCATAACATCTAACAGAATGTGGTACTTTGTCAAAGAACAAGTTGAGGTTGGTCGACATCAATAAAATCGCATTCACTCTGGGTACCAGTTTGTGTAATGCTCTACCAGCATTTCACGCCTTCACAGGTTGTGACTACACAGCCTCATTTGCCAGCAAAGCAAAGCTGACTCCTTTCAAATCACTAGAGAAGAGCAAAAAGTTCCAAGAAGCTTTCAGTAGAATGGGAGAGAGTGAAACGCTGTCTCATGAAACAATTGAAGGTATGCATCGATATTCAATAGTAATTCGATAATTGAATAATGTTCTATTTCTCCAGATATAGAAGAATACGTTTGCGAAATTTATGGGAACCGAAAATTATCCAGCGTCAATAAGGCTCGGTCGAAATTTTCTTGGATTGCTATACAAGCCAAAATCGAATCAATCTCCTTTCGCGGGTATCAAGAATTTTGAGGCCAGTCGTATCCCTCCTTGTAAGGATACATTGATTTGCAATATATGACGTACAAAATAAATTGCAGCTATTTGGAAATTTGCTTTTAGTGAGAAACCAAATTTCTTTAAACCGGAAGGAAATGGATGGGTTAAAGAAGGCGGCGAATATAAAATAAATTGGTTCGAGAGCGAAGAATTTCCGCAAAACCTAAATGAAGTACTAGTAGCTGCCGATGATTCAAGTGAAGTTGAATCTGAAGACGCTCACAGTAGCGACGATAATGAGTAGTATTTAATGGCATATTTCCATGAGTTTCATTCGTTATGTTCTGTTTGTTCTGATATTTTTTTCTTAAATTTTCTACATTTCATTATAAAAGTTATGTTCATCTTTAATTAAATATATAATATTCATCTAGTTCTAGTTAATTGAACTCTGTTTGTCTGGATGTGTATCCTATTTATTTTTCAATTTTCAATAATTTGGAAACCTTTCTGCATATAAGAGAAGGAAGACTTTTACTTTCATCAAAATTTGAAAATATTGTGAATGTTTCAAACAAAAAAATACCATATGCTCCATGTTTGTGCTTGGAATGATATCGCTTACGTATCGTCCGAAAAATTATTAGAGATATTCAACAAAGACAAATGGGAGTCTGCCGGTTCTGTGCCGCCGTCTTATGATTTTTTCTACAGTGGCAAGTTGTGGATTCTTTAATTCTCTATCATTCGATGCAAAATACAAGTTGAAATATTCATTCTT